CCCCCCTGCCTCCAGAGCAGCCAAGAGCGACGCGTGCTGTCCCCAAGGCAACCCCTCCTGCGCACCCCCTGCTGGCCGGAACCCGGCCACAGACAGACGAGACGCAGCTCCGGCAACAATGTTGGTTTAATGGCATTCACGTCCAGGAGAGCCCGTGCCAGTCCTGGTTGGCAATGTCCAAGGTGTGGGCTGTGTCCTCTGGGCTGGCTGTGGCCTTCAGCTTGTCCCATAGCCTTCCAGAACTCACGCCCACCCCAACCGCCTCCTGGCCACACCCCCCTGAAAAAAGACAAAACAATTGCACTGACAGACAGGTCCCCAGAGCATCCCGGCCTCCCGGCACACACCACGGGTCTGTCCCAGAGGTGATGGGCTTTGGCGTCTGCCTGGCGGTATCCAGGGCTGCTCCCGGGAATAGTGTTCATCAAATGTGACCGAGGTCCTTCTGCAAACTGGGGTCTAGAAGGTCCATTTCTGTGGTTCTGAGACGCTCGTCTCCAATGGCTTCTTCGGAGCTACCGGAAGTTGGGCCTGGATAACGCTGTGTGGTTGGTTGGTTTGTAAGGAATGTGTAAGGCATTTTGGTAAGTTGAACAGTAACTTCTTTCTCCACAGAGGAGACTCAGACGGAGGTGCCCTCCTTGGAGCTACTGCCGTCCTGTGAACAAGGCGGCAGTGTAAGGGGAGAGCAGACCCCTCGCCCGACTCCCAGGGACCCTCAGGCCGTCCCTGCATAAACACCCGGGGTTCCGCAAGCCCTTCGACAACAAGGGCCTGCATGACTTCTGGGCTGGGCCCGGGGTGGGGACACTGGCCAAGAGCCCACGCAGGATGATCAGCTAGGACTGGCCAGCAGTGGGGTCAGACACTCGCTCATACGAGGGAACCAAGGTGCTGCGTGGCGTGGTGTTCAGGAGGCCTGTCCCATCCCTCTGCCTGACTCCGCTTCCTCCCGCTGCCTCCAAGCCAGCCCCCTCCTGGCGGCCCCGAGGCCTAGGCACTTACTGGGTTTTCAAGCTGCTCTTGCAGCTTCTTCACCGTGTCCTTCTCCTTCGCCAACTGCTCCTGGGTCGTCTTGAGAAGCTCCTGCAGCTTGGTGGCGGCACGCCCCAGATCACCCGTCAGCTTCTTCTCCTTTTCTAGTCTCTCCTGCAGGTCAAAGGTCTCAGAGGTCAGCCCTCATGTGACAACAGCAGGAGGGCCACCCAGCTGGCCCACAGACCCCGCAAAGACAGTTGGTGCTGGCCAGGAGGGAGCAGTGTGTGCTGACAGTCTCTCCTGCCGTCTGGGGCACTGCAGAGCAAACAGTGCCGTCTAGTGCCACAGCCACGAGACACGTGGCACCAAACACCCAACATGTGGCTGCAGTGTGGCCATGTGTCACTGCAAGGTTGGGTCCTCCCAGTAAGCCCAGATCTGCTTCAGGGGCTTCAAGATCTGCCCACCATGGTGACAAGGAGAGCCCAAAACCAGGGACTGGCTCAGACAAGGCGGCTCCCCCTTCCCGGACCCCTTCTGAGGTCAAGAGCCCACAGCCCTGCCCACCCCACCTTCAGCTGTGTGGCCTCCTCCGTCTCGGAAGACCCCAGAGGTCCTGCTGCCCGGAGCTTCTCCAGCTCTTCTTGTAACCGGCACGCCAAGACCTGAGCCTAGTCAGAGAGGGGCATGGGGTTGGGGTGAGAGTACTTACAGACCCCACCGAGCACCTGGGGGCCGGAGCACCCCAGGCTCATGGGCAATAGTGCAAGCCTGTGGCTAGAATATACGGGCCAGATCCCCACTTTCAGGAGGCAGGAGACTGACCGTGAGCACCAGCTCCAAGACAGCCCCGACCCATGCCTACCCGCCCAGGCCCCACCCCTGGTGCCCAGAAGACCCAGCCAGGTGGGCATGGCTGGGAGGGCGGGGCCAACCCACTGGCTCCCTAGAGACGAGGCCTGAGAGCGGCTGGGGGGGCCTGACCTCCTCAAACTCAGCCATGAGCTTCTGCCGCTGCATCTGCTCGTCCTCCAGGTCACCCTCCGTCCCCTCCAGCTGCCTCTTTAGCTGTGTGGGAACACCCTGAATGTCACTAGGGAGCCAGTGAAGGGCCCTCTCAGTGACCAGGGCAGGCTAGACCATGCGGCTGCCTTCTGGCAGCTTGCAGGGCCCCCAGCCTTGCCCTGCCCGACAGAATCCTTTCCAAAGCCTCGTGGGGAGAAGGCGCCTCAGCCTGGATGGAAGCAGGTGGGTCCAAGAGCTGCTGACAGGGCACCCCACCCCAGGGGCCTCTAACGGAACCCACGGGATGAGAAAGACTCTCAGCCCACAGTGACAACCCCAGTGGCCACACCATGGCCACCTGGGGACAGGCTGCCTCCTGGTCAGGGCTCTTCATGACTCTCACTTGGGTCAAGACTCCGGAGATCAAATGTCCTTAGTGACACTCCAGCAGGGGTTACAACAGGAACCGAGCCCCCCCACCCCCCACCTGGTCACCTCCCCTGTCCTGTGCTCTGCACCTTTCTCAGAACCTGGGTGACCCTCATCAGGCAAAGTGGGATGGGGAGGGGAGGCGGTGGAGGTTGGAGGTTGGAGGTTGGCAGTGTTTAGTCAGACCAGAGGCTGTGGGCCCTGCATTCCTCCTGGGGTTAGTGACGTGTCTGGGGACTGCCTCAGCCCTAACCTGGACAGGGTCCTGCTTGGCTGTGGGGGCCTCTGAGGAGGCAGCCAGGGACCCAGCTATGTCACCATCCTCTACGTGGTTCTTCATCTCACTCAACTGCTGCCTGACCTGCAACGGGAGGGATGGGTTTGTGCAGATGCACAGCCGGGCACACGCTACCTCACATGCCCAGGTGCACACACACAGGCTCCTTGGGGACCAAGGCCACTCTCCACGGCTGCAGCACTTTAGGGGACCAGATTTGGTAACTGTGACCTATGTCCAAGTTCACTGGGGCAGGGACCAGGGCCACACCCCAACCTAAGCTAAACCAAGGCTTTGTGGCTAATGAGCCAGTGTGTGTGTCCTAAGGCCAGTGGGTGGGGAACCCCCCCCCAGGTGCAAATGACCCCTGTGGACACAGCTACAAAGAGCTGATGAATCCCAATGGAGTAGAGGGGAGTGGCCAGCAGTACCCACACCCCAGGCCTCTTCTTCAAGGGTGCTGAGATACTGCTCAGAGCCCTTGTTGGGGTCTAGAAAAGACCACAAGATGACACTCTAGCCTGACAAGGTCTCCCACCTCTGAGCTCCATGGCTGGAGGTGGGCAACATGTCTGGTGACCCCCAAGGACCCCAGACTACTGGGCCTCCAATCTGAAAGGCAGTCACTTGAGACGCTCAGGCCAAGACTTCAGTCGGGAGACCTGGATGGGACCTCTGGCATGAGCTCCCAGGGACATGGGTGTCCCCTCCAAGAGGCCAGCTCCCAGGTACATGGGGCCCCAGGCTTCCCCGACAACAGTCCCAGGGGCCAAAGTCAAGCTGCACAGTCGAAAGATGTCACAAAACTCTGGGATTTCTCTGCACTCACCCCTAGCCCAGGCCATAGCCCCTGGGCTCAGGAGGAGACTGTCCTGGGCAGCAATGCCTCTAGTGTGGTGCCCAGGGAAGGCCAGACTACGGAGGACCCAGGAGCTGGGAGCACTTGTTGAACTCCACGGCTGTTGCAGGGGGCTGGCCTGGACCAGACGTCCTGTCTTCTTAGAAAGCCAGGGCTGCATATTTTTATTCAAATCTCCCGATTTCTAAATGCTGACAACTAACCCAAGACTTTAAAAAGACCAATCAGATCAAACAACGTGTCTGTGGCCTCAGCCACTGCCCACAGTCGGGCAGGCCTAGGTCCTGCTGCTTCTGCAGGATTGGCACTTGGGGACAGAAGCCTCGGCTGAAGACCGGTGAGATTGGGCCATATGCAAATGGGGCTGACCTCTAGGCCCCCACCCAGCGCCAGGCCAGGCACAGGGCAGGCCCTCCTTACATGCCCAGAGGTTCCACTGAACTGACCAAGGTAAGAAAAACCCAAGCAAGCAGAACCTGCCAATAGCTACATAGTGAGGAGACCCCAGGCTGCCTGCTCCAACACTGCCAGGGGCTGCAGTGTCTCTGATGCCTGGGGTGACACAGCAAGCTCAGGGAGTGCAGACTCCCAGGGTGGCCACTGCCATGAACAGGGGACCAGGTGGCCAGGGGACAGACACATCGAGTGAGCACCGTGGTCCCTGCAACCACAGGCCCAGCGCAAGCTCTGAGCAAACAGGCAAGAAGGCCCCACCCGGCTCAGCTGGTGACACTGTCCCCTCCACCGAGCCCTCACCTTCGGGTGGACACAAGCACGCCCAGAAAACCCATCCCACACACGCATCCCCAGTCGCATGCCGGCCCTGGTGCCAGGTCCACCTACCAGGGCAAGCTCATCACTTTGCTTCTGGGCTTCGCTTTTGGCCGTGTCCAGCTGAGACTGAGACTCTAACAAAAGCTGCCTCAACTTGGGGAGCAAGACAGCCAGGTGGGGGAAAAGAGAGAAGAGGAGAAAACCAGTTCTTGGGAGTCGGCAGCTGTTCAAGGAACACAGCCACCACTCCAGGACCCATGAGGACGTGGCCCAGACAGGAGGAGTTGGACACTGGTGCTCCCTGCACACCTGGTTCCACCCCCCACATGCCCATGGATTTGCTCTTGCAAAAGGGGCCAAAAGACTAAGCCAGAACCCAGGTCCCAGCAATCCACCCCTGGAAGTGATGTTGGCAAGGCAGAGAACGCAATGCTGAGAGGCATGACAGACGTGCTGCCATCCTCAGGGCAAGGCGCCTTCGTGAGCCCGCACAAGCCACACCTCTGGGCTGGTGGGCCCACGAGGTGTCTGCAAGTCAATGGCCAAAGCCCGATACCCCCCTCAGGGCTCCTGCCAACCAGAGCTGCTCCTGAGGTCATGGGGGCAAGTCTGGGAAGATCTGCCTCCACTGGCCCACGGACTCACCCCTGCCACCTCCTTGGCGTAAGTCTGGCACTCAGTGGCGGCGGCTGCCATGTGCCGCTCCAGCTCGGCCTCCAGCTGTGCGGTATGTTCCCTCACCTGCACGGACACACAGGCATGCGTCAGTGACCTCCGGCAGCAGGAGGGCTTGCACCACGGTACAGGCTGGCCTGGGATGAGCACGGGCTGCCAGGAGACTTCAAAGCCCACCCGCCACCAAGTAAGCTGAGGGCAAAAAGAAACTGCCTGTGGCAAGAGATGCCCTTTCTGAAAGTATACTCTGTGCCCGGTACTCCTGGGTCCCAACATGCACCTGGACCTCAGGAGTCGGGAGGGATGGCTCTGAGGTCTACTTGGCAAAGGGCTCACTGAAGGGTGTGGAGGGAGCAGGAAGGCTGCCTCCATTGAAGGCCACGGCAGAAGCTCCACTCTCCAGGGCTGGGCACGTCACTCACTAAGGAGAGACAGGGCGGACACAACCCCTCAGCTTGGGAGGGAAGAGCCTCTCGGAAGGCACGTGGTCCATGAGGGGTAACGACTGCAGTGGCCTCTGCCATAGCGTCCCTTCTGTCCCCTGGAGCAGGAGCAAGCACGGAGCAAGCTGCGTACCTGCTCAGAACTCTCAAGCTCCCCTTTCAGCTTCTCCACAGTGTCCTCAAGATGTCTCACCGTGACCCGTGTCTGCAAGGCAAGGCAGGGCCCATCACACACTGGGCATGTCTCCTGACAAGGCACACTGGACCCAGTGGGACCAGCCCATGCCAGGCAGTGCCCGCCCTTCCAGTCGAGATGGCCACCCCAGGGTCCACATGGCTGAGGAGGGACTCCTTGAGTTCAGGTCGTGAGCAGGGCGTCAAGGCAACGTACCTTCTGGAGCTCCGCCTCGGCGGTGCCCACCTTGGCCCTCCACACCTGCTCCTCCTCCTCCACGCTCTTCTGCAGGTGTTTGAGCATGCCCTCCTGCGAGGGGAAAGGCACTCAGGCAGGGTCGCAGTCCCCAGACCTCACAGGCACATAGCTGCGTCTTCCTGTCCCCTCAGCCCCGTGTAACCTGCCAGTGCCTCCCCTGCTGTGACTGTGAGCAGCGTCAGCACTACGTGGGGAGGGAGGATCTCTGGCCAGTATGCAAACGTGGCTGCAGGGCCATGGGACAAAAGAGGTCTGTGGCCTGCAGAGGGCCACCGGGACACTCGTCACTGCTGGGTTTGACCACCAGCACCGACCACGTCAGTGGCCCACGACCAGTATGGAAAGCTTCAAGTCATGGAGAAAGAGGTTCCCCTGAAGCTGGCCAGACGTGGCCCTCATCCCTTCCTGTGTTCCTCCTTACAGCCAGGTCTCTCCTTCCCTTAGAGAACTCGGCCCTCTTCTCAGAACAGTGATGGACTCAGGCCTCACCCATCATCCTAAGCCCATCAGCCAAGGAAGAAAGCCCAGAGTGGGGAAGCAGCCTGACAGTCACACAGACCCAGGAGGCTCTTCTGACACCCCATGCAGCCCCCTCTCTCTAGGCCTCGAATTCTTCCCAGAAGTCCCCGGGCTCCCAGCCGACAGTGGTCCCGAGGCTCACCGTCTCAGCCAGGATGGTGCGGTACTGCTCACACTCTGCCTGCAGAGTGCTCTGGGCCTCCTCGGCCTCCTTCAACTTGGAAACCAGGTCCTGAGGGCAGAGGGCAGAGCAGAAGGAAGTCAGCCAATCACGACAGTTTCTCTTGTGGCCCGCTGGGCACCCCCTTCCTGCTGGCGGCCACACTCACCAAGGATGGCTCTGGGGTGGCTGATGGCCGCTTCAGCAACCCAGAGCCTTTCTCCTTGAGCTCCTGCAGCCACTCAGCATAATTCTGCAACGAAACACTCAGGGTGGGCCCGGGGACGCTCACAGGACAGGGGGTTCCAGGAGCTGCCCCCTCTTACCTGGTGTGCAGGGACGGAGAGCTCAGGGAGCAGCGCCAGCAGGGCCTCCCTAGTCTGTGCCTCGGTCAGGCGGAGTTGCTTCTCGGACTCCTCCTAGAGGGCGGGCGGGAAGAGCGAGGGCATTCAGCTACGGGGTGGGGCACCTGGAGGCACTGACAGCCATCCCCAGAGCATCCTCAGCTATTCAGAGAGGGATAAGAATCAAAGGAGAACATGGGGCTTTGTGGGCTGGCTGGGGGCTGGGAACAAGGGGTCAGCCCCAGTCTGTACCGGGTCTACTTCCAACAGAACAGTGTGGAAGTGGAAAGGGTCCTGGGCTGGCTGCAGGGCAGGCGTGGGGGCTGGTCCTATTCACAGATGGACAGGCTTGGTCTGCTCTCATTTTCTGAATTCTGTACGTGTGGGGGTGGGGGTCGGGTAGGAGGACAGCACATCGCAGCTACAACAGGGAAGGGCGGGAAGTTGAGCTTGTCTCTAGTGGTCCCATGGCTGAGGTGGCAGGAATGGGGCCAGGGAGGCTCATCTCCACTCAGGAGTAGGAGCTGATATTCCCACTATGCATGGGGAAAGGCCCACTCGGAGCCAAAAGGGGCCTCTGCTCTGGACCATGGTCCTCCTGAAGCTTGACTATACCCATGCAGTAGGGGGCAGAGTGCCCTCAGCCTCCTCGGGGAAGACCAGCTTCCATTAGAGCAGAGAAGGAACAAAGGGTCAATGGCGCCCAAAGCAAAGCCAGGACCACAGCAAGGCCTCCAATGCCGCCATCACTGGCCACGTCCCCCGACCAGAGCTTCCCCATTGGCCCAGACACTGGGAGACCCTGCACATGTCCCAGTTAGGCGGCACAGAGGGTGAGGCCGAATGGACATCACTCCCCAGGTGCCTCCCACTAGAGCTACCCTCCCCATGACCTACTGTGAGACGGCCCATGGGACCCAATGGGCACAATTACAGAGGCCTGAGAAAGCAGCAAGATTATTCAGACAAAATGCCATGGGACAAAATAACAGAAAGCAAGCCTGTGAAGACAGCGTAGCCTCAGGATCATCCCACCTGGTGCCGCGTTCCTCACCCAGAGAAAGAGGGCCTGGTGAAGAAAACCCCATTCAGGGTACACATCCCTCAACTTAAGGAAAGATCACAGGGAGAGCAGGAGGGAAGGAAGCTATGTGGGCCAGGCCTGGGTGGTTGGAGCCAAGGCTACTCTGTGAACACTCAGTGCTTTGTGTCCTGGTAACTAGCGGGAGTCAGGGTGCTGGGCTCTGACCTTGGCCTGGGTTAGGGAGTGTAGCTTCTCCTCACAGGCCCGCTCGGCCACAGCCAGAGCTTCCATGGCCTTCCAGTTCTTCTCTCGGAGGTCCTGGAGGGGACACAGGAAGAGGTCAGCGGTTCACGCCAATCAGTCGCTGACACATCCCCCATAAGCTGCCTCCAGCCAGCCTCAGACAGGACATGGCCTGGAAACCTCCCTGACCCCACCATGGTCCCACAGAAGAACTGAGAAGGGACAACATGCCCTTTCCTGGGTCCACGCCCATGGGGCTTTGACACAAGCCAGGCGCTGGGCCAGGGAGACGAGGCAGGTGCCCTTTTGGGGAAGATACCAGTCAAGAAGGGAGGGAGGGAGAGTAAGCCGTCTCCTCGGGGAAGAATGTTCCCCTCTGGTGGCCTGGGCCAGCCAGCACAGGGTGGCAGAGGCAGGGCCTGCCTCGGGATGCTGTGGCCTCTGCGGGGAGCAACTGGGCCACCAGCAAGCCCTACTCTGTGAGGTTCCCTGCCCTCCGCAGACAAGGGCAGCAGGTCAACACCTGCCCGGCTCCTACAACCTATCTCCTGGCACCAGCCTCTCCACTGGGGGTGACCAAGTGACCTAGGCTGGTCAGTCAGTGCCTTCTCCCCTCACCAGGGACTGTTCCTCACTTGGGCACATGGCACAGGCTGACCCACGGGCAGTTGGCTCTGGTCTTCGGGTGGACCTGGGGATGGGCAGCACCCCTCACCCTGGGCTCTCGAGGAAAGCAGGCCTTCCTGCACTCATAGCACGATGGGCTGCAGAGGAGCAGAGTTTGCCCCCCCGGAGCCAGGCAGGGCCACACGGCAGGTCCCCTGGGTCAGGTGGAAGAGCCCTTTTCCTGGTCTCCGTGCTCTGGACTGGCCTCCCCACCCAGCCTCACACTCACATTGTTCTTCGCTTTCTGCTGCTCGACGGCCTCCCTGAGCTCGGTGGCCTCCTTCTCCAGACCTGATACCTGGGACTCCAGCTCCTTGAGGCTAAGGGCACACAGCAAGGTCACTGCCCAGACTCTGAGGGCCACGGTCCCCACAGAGCCTCATGCTGGGCAGAAGCACCTGCGAAGCTGAGCCACTTGGCCATGTATGGTCCCTTCCAGCTGCCTCACCTCCCCTCCTGACCAGGCATAAGCTCTCTGGAGCCTGAGCAGCCTCCCGGCCCCTCTTCCTACTCATCCAGAGTGCTGGCCCACAGCCGTCACCAGAGTCCCACTTGGTGACACTAGCTGCCGTGATGCACAGACCAGCACAGGACGGGCCCCGGGCAGTCGGGTTTCCGGGACATTTTCTTCTAGTGACTGAGCCCGGTGCCTGGGACTTGGCTCCTGCTAGACCAGGTCCTGCCCATCTCCAGACACGCAGCTGGCCCTTCTCCATATCCACATCCGCCCTCAGAAGGTCCGGGCTGGGCCTCCTCTGGACACACCGAGCTGCAGACTCACGGCCGCACAGTCACCACCCCAAGACAGGGAACTGCTGCTCTCGGTCCACCAGAAAGCCTGGGCCAACCCGGACTGTCCATGCTGGGTTGTGCAGCTGTGTCTCCCATCTGGTTTCCTGACCTCTGTCCCTAAAGTCCCTCACTTGTAGACAGAGAGAGACACGGTCCCCTGCAGAGGCTGAAGTGAGTGGACTAGAACCTGGAGGCCCCGCTTGGTCAGCTTACCGAGTTTGCTGTTGGTCAGTCTCCACGCTGTTGGCCTGGAATGAGAGACAGGAAGCCCTTGGGTTCCAGGGAACTAACCTCACCCAGGGCTGGTCAGGGCTGGCTCTATGCTGCCCCAATCCCACCAGCCTGGGGAGGAGGCTGACCTGGGCATCCTGAGCCTGGCCCGCCTCCAGCAGAGCCTCGATGGAGCGGATCCTCTGGGTGAGCTGGGCATTCTCCGCCGTGGCGTCCGCCAGCTGCCCATGCAGCCCACTCACTTCCTCACACTTGCGCTTCACCTCTGCCTCGGAGGACTTTAGCTGGCCGTGCAGCTCTGTCATGGGAAGGGAGACCACAGGTTGGTAGCTGGACATGCCAGGCAGCACCTGGCCTCAGCCTCACAACACATCCGGGCACCAAGGGCCCCTTCCCTGTCTCCTGGGTCTTAGTAGCTGCTCAAGAAAGGACCCCTGGCATTGTTCCTGGGGGCCATCAGATAAGGGTGATGCCCTCAAACCATGCCTGAAATGATGGTGGAGGCCGGAAATGGACTTGGACAGCCATTCCTAAGGGCCCCTTCCCTGAAGACCCTGCCCAGTAGCTGAGACCAGATGTTCTTCAGAAAGGGACTCTGCTGGTTCCACTGGCCATACCTCCCCCCTTCTGGCTGGGTCTTGCCTCCATGACCTCTCAGAGGTCTTCAAGAAGGACGCCAGAGTGTCACTTTCCTGCCCCAGGATTCCTTCTCCTCTCAAACAAAATGTCCTCCTCCCCAGGTGACCTCAGACAGTCCCATGGCTCTCCATGTCATCCATGCGCCTGTGACGCCATACTTCTCCCATCCCTGGCCCCAGTTCTGCTGCCTGTCACCTACCAAGGAAATCTCTGATGAGACCGTGTAGGCACAGCGCCAAGTCCCGGTCCCCTTGCCTGGCCGCTGTCCTCCCCAGCCCTTGCCATCCTGAAGTCACCACCTGCCAGGTTGGCTCCGCCTCACCAGCACCTGTGGCCACCTGGGCCACGTCTCCCGGGACCACACCTGCCCCTCCAGTCTGGTCCCCATCAGCAACAGAGAGTGCAGAAGGGCAAACGAGATCATGCCATTCCCCCGCCCCAGCGCTTCCGCCACACTTTAAGACAGAGCTGACTCCTCAGAGGGAGGTGACCAGTGCTCTGACGTCACCAGCCTTCTCATTCCAGTCACACTCACTACCTTCCTATTTCTTGTACAGGCCAAGTTTAAGTTCACTCCCCTCTCAGGGCTCTGTGCTGGCTGACCTCCTCTGTGGAATATTGCCCCCTTCAAGCCCTCCTGCCTCAGAAAGGCCACCCTTACCACCAATCTGAAGCAGGGCCAGCAAGCTGGGCTCGTGCTCCCATCCTCATTCTCAAAAATGACACAAGTGAAGCCTTCTTAGCAGCCAGGTCTCTTTGTTTGCCTGGTGTTTTGGGCGCTTTTGCCCACTGAGGCAGAATAACTGTGAGAGACCGTCTGGCCTGCAAAGCCAGACGTATCACCATCCATTCCTTCACAGAAACAGTTTACCAGTCCTGCCCTGTCTTAAGCTCTTAAGGGCACTGCTGTGTGACAGTCGTGGAGGATGCCCTGGCTCAGCCTGGTGCCCACAGCAGTGCTTGGCCCAGGCAGTCGCTCAGGAAGTGCTAAGGAGCCAGGGCCCACATGGCTTCCACCGGCCCCGCCTGCCCCTTTCTCCAGGACTCTCAAGGGCTCCCATCCTCAGCACCCTCTCCATGATCAACTGTGAAGTGCAAGGAGACCACAGGCCCACCTTCCAAACCCAGCTTGGCTTCTTGGATGGAACAAGTCCAAACAGTCAGTAGAGAAGACCATCTCAGGCCTCAGGGATGCCTCAGCCCATCCCTAGCCACAGGGCTCCAGGCAGGGGTTGGGGGGTGAGGGCTTGGGAGGGAGGGGGCCCTTCACCCCCTGCCCAGCCCTTATAGGCTCCACTCCTCACCCCCCTTGTCCTGTGCCCAGCAGACAGTCTCCCACAGGCCTGATTGTGCCTCCCCTGTTCCCAGCCAGGGTGCATCGCCACCTCTTAGATTCTCTGAGGGGAGAGGCAGGCATTCATGCAGCCCTCACTCGCCAGCAGGGCTCACCCACTGGGATCTGGCCCTGGCAGTGGGGCCGGGATGGTGCAGACCCCGCACAGACCCCAGTGCCACTGAGACACCACCCTCACCGGCCATCTGCTGCTGCTGCTCCTGGGCCTTCTCGGCGTCTGCCCGCAGGCTGGCGTGGCTGGTCTGTGTGCGACACAGCTCCCGGCTGAGCTCATCCAGGCGCTTCTGCAGGGCATCCTCGCTCTCCTTGTGAGATGCCTGAGGCGGGACAGAGAGCACAGGCCGTCAGGCATGAGAGGCGGCCAGGCCTTGGGGGCTCTGTGCTTTAGGAGGGCTAAGCTTCTGGTCTCATGGCCTTTTTAGGTAAGAAAGAAGTTTTCTCTTAACACTCTAGAGCCAGCTCCCCCAGCCAGTGCCCTTGTGAGAAGAGGAGATGGCAGCCAGGGACGTATACCCACTTCCCAGGTCTCTTTGAATTTCGCTGTTTTTACATTCCCAAATAACTCCTGAAGACATGCTTATTGCAAAATTCCAAAGAAGCCGATTACAGTAAACCGGCCAAGCTTCCCCAGTAGTCCTCACTTCCTCTCCTAGAGGTCAATGGCTAGGAAGATCTCCTGCCTGGGACTGTAGGTACAGACATGTACAGGCGGTACACCATCAGGCTCACTCCAGAAGGCAGTTCTCTCAGTTCAGCTAGTGTTACGTGGACCACATAAGCGTGCCAGTGTTCAACCATTTCACCTACAAAACGGCATTTCTTGTGGTTCAAGAGTATCATGGAGACATTTCCCATCAGGATAGACAGGCCTCCTCATCCCTGTCCAGAGCCACACAGAGCTGACACCTGGCATCTGCCTAGTCCCATCCAATGTCAGACGGGCACCTCTCACTTTCTGGCAGGCCGAGCAACCCTCCATGGGATGCCCCGTCCATTGTGTCAAGGGTTCCCCCATACTAGGGCGGAAGGGCTGGCCACGGCCTCCACTTCATCCACCTCCTTCGTAGGTCCTCATTCGCCAAGAGCCAGATCACTGACTGATTAGTTAACAAGCTTCTCTGGGGACAGGACTAGGTGAAGGACCTGTTGACAAATGCCTCTTGTCGACAGAACTGAGACTCTGGGTTGTCCCTCCACCCTATAAATCATCCAACAAGCCAGTTTTCGTTCTTTCAGGGCAACGGCAGCACAACCAGGTGCGAGGGTAACTGCTCTGATGAGCGCCGCCCGGGCAGACAGGCTGGGGCCAGTGCAGCCATCACCAAGGATGCGGCCACCAGGCCCTGGGTAACGTGTACCATGCAGTAGGAACCGGGAGTGGCTTTAGGAGGGGCAGTGCTTTCTGCATGCAAATACTGCAGGCATCAGCTCAGTTCCAACCCCAGAGAGGAAAGCAAGACAGGCGTGACCATGGGCCGCTTCCCACAGAGCCGTTCTGCTTGTCCCCTATTCAGTGCCTGACAAGGGCTGTGCCCACCGGCTCTGACACCTTCACCTCCCCGCTGCAACTGGCATACACAGGTAGAGTTGTCTTCAGCTGGAAAAAGCCACCACCTTTCTGTTTCTGTTTCTCTCCAACTCAGATTGCAGGAGATGGCCTCTTGTGCCCTCCATTCATTACTGACATTCATCAGAACACTGGTGCCAGCCACAGGCAAAAAAAACTCACCTGCCTTCAGGAACCAAAACCTTAAGATCTTTCATGGAAGCCACACACATCCTTCTTATGACCTGAGGTGATGACTTTCTTTGCCTGGAAGGGGAATGTGGGCCGTACAGCCAATCACAGTGAATAGTTCAGAAGCTGGACAGGTCAGTCAGGCCCTTTATAAAATCCTCCTGAAGTCTAAATGCCAGCTTGTCCAGATGGGTGCCATTAGTGCCCTCAATGGGCAATTTCTTCCAAGTAGGCTCTGACAAACCAGACAAGGGAAGACAGGCAATGGGGCTTGGGGACACTGTCTCCCTGATGCCAAGGTTCCAGGACCAAGTTCAGCACAGGAAGCCATCTCACCCTGGTCCCTGAAGAGCTGGCTCGCAATAAAGTGGCTTCAGGAGAAGGGAGGACAGTCACAAAATGAAAAGGGCCCCACTGTCACTTCAGCAGCACACAGGAAGCCACTTTCTACATGCACTACCAGTCTAACCTGGAGACTTCCTGAGTGGGACTTTGGAATGTGCACATTCAGTGAGCTCTTTCTCTGCAAGGCAGTGTTCTATTCCTTGGCTGGCTCCACGTTCTGCCTGCAGGACAGTCACCGGCTCCCAAGTGACAAACAGAAAAGGGTCATGGGGCCGGTGATCTGAGTCTCCTTTCTGGGACATTGGCTCTTTTGTAAGTAGTGATCCAGGTCTTGGGTCCATTACCAGAGACCCTTTTACATGATCGGCCATGAGGGGTGTGTGTGTGTGTTTTGTTAATTCCTACAGCAACTCTGCAGGACAGTAGTGGCAAGCATAGAGAACATGCTGTATGTTGCCCAGTGCACTCTGGGGATAGGGAACAACTTTCTTCCCTCTGAAGAAAAATGGTCATCCTCCTGGGAAAACAGACTCCAGGTCACGCCCAGAGGCTGAGAAGGTAAAACTCACCTGACCCTGAAGCCCAAGGCACCACGTGGTGGCAGGCACAGGACAAGTGCAGCTCTTGGACTCAGGGGCCTCAAATCCCACCCGTGTGAACTTGGGGTGGCTCCTTGGCTCCTCTGTGCCTCCAACTGCCTTGTGGGTAAAATGTGGGCCCTATCAGGCCTACCTGCAGGGCTGCACCAAGGATGAGCTGAGTTAACACTGAAGTGCTCAGCACATAAAAGGCACCGTCAAGCTCTGATGGGACTAAGGTGGATAGCTTGCACTCCAGCCTGGCCTACGCCTCCAGCTGTCATGGCATGACGGAAAGGAAAACCCAGTGTGGCTGGTATGGTGAGCAGGGAGCCAGCACTGCGCAGACCCACCTGTAGCTGCAGGATCTGCTTCTCGAAGGCGGCCGTCTTGGCTTCCAGAGCTTTCCGCTGCTGCTCGTCCTGCCGTGCGGCCTCCGACTTCTCCATCAGCTCTTTGCTGACCTTGCTGAGCTCCTGACGGAGTTTGGCCAGCTCTGCGTTCTGCCTGCAAGATAGACACCGGTTCAAGTGATAGACCAGCAGTCCAAGCCTGCCCTCCAGGACACCAGCCTGGGGCAAATGGCCGCCAGGTCTTAGAGCCATCACCAAAGTCTCCCTTGCATCATCAGCTGATTGGGGGTCTGGTGTATTCTGTTGGGGGTCTACCCTCATGGCACATGACCAGAGACAGCAAACAGTGAAACATGCATGGAAGCATCCCAAGGGAGCCCTCCAGAAATGGCTGGAAATTCAGACAGAGAAAGGCCAGACGCTGTTCTCTTCACTGTTGATCTGGGCAAAACTGACCCTGAGACACAGGCTGACCTGCCCTGATCCCTGCAGGCCCAGGGCAGCAGCCCAGAGGTCACAAGCCTCCTTTACAGCAGCAGCCCAGCAGGGGAGGCTGCCTGAGGGCAGAGCCTAAGGCACTTGCAAAACAGACCTTTCAACATTGTACTTCAAAAGCCAGGTCCTGACTGGGGAACATCCCAGTTATAGGAAGAGACTTGGCTCAGAGGAAATGGGGCAGCTGAGGCCTGTCTTTTCCAGCCTGATATGCTAACTGGGACGCCAGCTCTTTCACTAAACAGATGCCACCTAAGGAGGGAGATTGACTGTCCAGGCCAGGGACACCACCAGATAAGAAGAAGGGGACAGACAAGACTGTCCACAACCCTGGGGGCAGAATCAGGCCAGGCAGAGGTGGGAAACCTGGCCCAGACCAACTCTGCTCTGTTGGCTGGGGCGGCAGGTTTCACTTCTTCAACTTGGGGGGGGTCTCATCTGCACTGAGGAGGCTGCACCACTGTCCTCCGCAGAATGGCCAGCTCATACGCGTCCCAACACCAAGGCTCAAGCGCTGGCCAGGAGCCTGAGTGGGCAACCCCTGGGGACTGACTTGGAGCTCTGAGGTGGGGCTGAAGAACCTCACCCTGCTGCTGAGCCCCTGACACTGGGCAGAGCTTCCACACTGCCATGAGTCAGCGCCACTGCCTCATGGTGACAAGTCTCCACAAGAGGATGCCCAGGAAGGCAACACGCACACACACGAGCCCAGAGGGGGCCAGCCTGGGGAGGGACCCCCGACAGCAGGCCATGCTCTCAGAGTCTCTGGTTCTCACTCTAAAAGGAGCCAGCAGGCAAGACAGACATGTGACCCAGACTCCCCTCTTGCAACTGTGCTGGCTTCTCCTGACCCAAACCACAGCCAAGGGTGCTCTCTGCTGCAGTCAGCCCTGTTCTTGGGGAATCAGATGCTCTGGGGTGACACAGAGCCCCGAAAAGTCCCTGTGAGACACTTTAGGCCCAGAGAAGGCAAAGAAATGTGCATAGCAATACAACGCAGTGGGCTCCCTGAGGGCCGGCCCGCAGAGTACTTCAGCCAGGGAGGCGGAACACGCACAGCTACACAGAGCTGGAGGCAAGCGTGCCTGGCTTAGGGGGCTTTAGCTACACAGAGGCTAGACTGACTCGGAGAACTCCACTAAGTGGGTGGGGCACCAGAGCATCAGAGGGACCCCCGACAGCAGGCCATGCTCCAGGAGAGAGTCGGGGCCCACAGCAGTGCCTACAACAAAAAGCTCTCATCCTGGACAGCCTATGCGGCCTCAATACTCTGGCCACCACACATCTGGGACATCGTGAAGACAGGCGTGGGGAAAATATTGTCTTTCTAGGAAAGCAGGATGCAGAGCCAGACGGAAACTGAGGGGCACTGCTCCACTCGACAGCAGTATGTGGCAAGGGCAGCTGCAGCGGGGGCACAGCGGCCCCACCTGAGGCCTCCGCCACCTGAGGAGACACCGGGCCACCTGTCGGAAGACTCAGCTGCCCAGAACCCAGGCAGGAGACAGGGGTCAGGGCAGCTCCATGCACACACGTGGGTACGAGCCTTGTGGGCCCTTCCCAGCTCCGGAGCCATGGGGAGGTACTGTGGCTGCATTCAGACAGGAACGCCCAGCTTACTTGCTCTCCACCTGGCTTGTGGCCTGATTCAGGGCATCCCTCAGGATGGAGTTCTCCTGTTGCAGACGGGCCAGCTGAGTGTTGGGGCCATTCTCCAGCTGCTCCTGCAGAGTCCGGATCTGAAAAGTCGGTGGCGAGGGATGAGAGTGGCTCAGCCTTATCAAGAGAACTTCTGGAGCAGGGTTGATAAGGACACAGGCCACAAGAGAAATCCCCAGAAGGCTCTACCTTTTCCATGTGGAGGTTGGGAAGAGCCCATTAATGAGAGGCCTGAAAATCACATACACCCTGCAACACACCTTTCTCCCTTCTGGCTGCCCTTGGCCTCCCCGAGCACTCAGCCTTGAGCCTCTGACATGCCCTGTAGGCCTCCAGGGTCACATGGTTGACTATTCTGAGATGAAGCACACAGCCACAAGTCACAGTCTAGAACCATCCAAGGACGTTCTGTTTCCTGTCCTCTGGCCTCCCAGGGGTGTAGTCAGGAGGAGGCCATAACCCACAACGAGCAGGTGCAGGTTTCAGAAGACAAGATCAGACCTAGACAATAAGGCCATGTCTGGGCAGGTGGACCCCTGCACTGGCTTCAAGTCCCATGCAGAGATGCATGACATTCAGGCCTTGTGCGTTACGTGGTCCTTCCAACTGTGTGGGAAGAGCTGGCAGCACTCCAGATTCATTCACCTGGAGGCCGAGATCTTGACCCATGGACACCCAGCAGGCAGGGCCTCAGGGCTGGGTGCTTGAGGCCAGCTCTTTGGAAAAGGCACTCTTTAACATGTACTTCCACTTCCTGGGGTACACTGCTAGTATACCCGGCCACACCAACAGCCCGCCCTGCAACCCCGCCAGCCCCTGCAGACCCGCCTCCCTCTCCTGCCTCACCCGGGCCTCCCGGCTCCCCTGGCCCACTGCCCACCTTGCCCTGCAGCTGCTGCACTTCCTTCACATGCTCCCGGTAGCTGGCCTGCATGCGTGCCTGCACGGCTGTGATCTCCTGCTCCCGTGCCACCAGCTGCTTCTTCACCTTGGCCTCCCCGGCTGCTGCCTTGGCCTTCTCCGCGGCCATCTCCTAGGAGGGGTAGCAGACAGGGGGGCTGATGAGCCACAGGGGTTGGGTGAGGGTGCACTGGATGGAACCAGAGCATCACAGGGTTAGAGACATGGGAGCAGGGCACAGGCCCCTCCCATGGGCCGAGTTCTCAGACAAACCCAAGCCCGCCAGAGATGAGGGATCCCAGAGAATCCTGCCAGCCCCAGCCAGTAGTGGGCTCGATGCAGGCACTGGCCACAGTGGAGGTGGTGGACACAGCAGGAGCTGTGTGAATGGCCCTCCAGGGACCCTGGCTTAGCCCTGCTGGATGACAACACCCAGCCTGACTTAGTCTCCCCATCCAGGCCCAGGACGCCTACTTCCACTCAAACACTTCATTAGGACTGAGAAGGTGGCGAGCCTTGATGGCTGAGTGGGGCAGGGACAGCTGCCCATTCCTCCATGGCTGGGAGTGGGGCCTGGGTCTCCATGGGCAGTTGTTCTGTCCACCCAGCCCAGGGGAACATCTGCTCCATCAGTGCTGGCCCCTGATGAACAAAGGAGGCTGGGTCTAAGGACCTGGCACCTCAGGCAGGGACAGAGCACATGGTGGGAGGGCTGACCATGGTATGTCATTCCAGGGGAGCAGCCCTGGATGGACGCCATGAGGAGAGCAGGATGATAACTCTAAGAATCGACACAGTAAGCCCTGGGGTGGAGCTACCGGTTGGATGCCTCAGACAGACCAGTCCTTACGAGGTGCGCGCCCACATACAGACACAGCTGGCGTGGGCGACCAGACATAAGTGTCCCATCCTGGGTAGTGGTCAGAGAGTAGGGATATCCTCTCCCTCCCAGACCAAGGCAGCTGGCATGGCCCAGCCCAAAGGCCAGCGTATCCCTCCTGCCTGAGGCAGGAGACAACCCCAGGGAGGGGCTGGGCTGATTGGTGGCCACTGGGTGCCAGTGCTCTGTATGCCTGGCCCTGCCTGGGACCCCAGGCCCCCTTGGCTTTGCTTTTCAGAGACAATCATCTCTGTGGCTCTGCCCAGGGTGTGAGGTGCACAGGAGCCTTCAGGATCACATCGCTGACCAACTACAGAAGCAGAAGGGGAGCAAACACTGTGTCCACCAGGGGTCACACACTGTCCCATCTAATTCTCTCAACAAGATGAGGATGATGGGCCCTGTTTCAAGCTGAGGTCCCTGAGCCCAGGGGAGGCAATTTGCTCAAGGCCAGAGAATAGCTCTAAATGGCAGGGTGGGTCCTGCAAGTCCAAGAGGCTCCCAGAAAGGGGTGGGATGGCAACACCCCTCCCCACTGTCCCGGCTTGGAAGCCTCCAGGGAAGGGGGTGACAAATCCTCTCTGACACCTATGGCCCCTCGGCCACTGCTGAACAGGTGGAGGGGGAGGCCAGAAGCCTCCAATGCCCCCAGGGGGGGGACCCCCTCTCCCGGGTTTCCCACATCGCAGCCCCTGCGGCAGATGCTCCAGCCTCAGGAAGAAGAGACTGAAGCACCAAGGGGCTGAGGCCCCACGTCCACAGAGGGCAGGTGATGGGTCACGGGGGGCTATCCTCCATTTCCAGGCCTCCACCTGGCTCAGGGCATGCAGGTCCCTCTCCTGGGGTCAGGGTCCCAAGGCCACCAGAGTCCAGTGGGATTCCTCCTTTGCTTTTGGGCTTCTCTAAAGCTAACCTGTCCCCAGTGCATCTGCTTAGCTCTCTGTAGTTTCTTTCTCCTCAAAAGCTCAGAAGCCCAGGGTTCCTTCTGCCGGTCAAACTCTAAATTCAGTTGTGAGGGTCAGATTTATTTTCTTGAAAAGCAATCTTCTCTTGGTGATGGGAGAGGGAGGGCTCCAACCAGAGCCCTGTCTTTTCTGCGGGCACCACCACTAGCATCCAGCTCAGAAACAGCTCTGCTGACATTGTCTTTTGGGTGCTGCTCCCAGGCATAATAATTGGGCCCAGAATGTGAGCTTCGTGAGCTTCCGAGGCCTGGGGAGCGGCCTTCCTCCCACATTCCCAGTCCCAAGAAACCTGGCACTCCTCCCAGGCCCCCATCAGGCATACTCTGAGGCCCCAGAGACCACGGCCCCTTAACTGCACCAAATCAGAGCCCAATCTCTTCTTGGGCCCTAAAGTTCAAGCACTGGACCAAGCTCAAGGTAGGTCTAGTCCAGAGGATGGCTTCAGGACAGTGGCTCTGGGGCCCAGGAAGACAATAGCTAGAAAGGTTTTCCAGAAGGTTGTGCCTTCTTGCCTATGTCCCTGAACCCCTAGGGGCCTGGGTTCCTCAAACCCACACAATGGACCCTGAAGACTCTCGGCAGGCTGGGACAGTGCTCTTGGGGTGCCTGGGCCTGCCACTGCAGCACCCGCACTTGTCCTGGAGCCCAGCCCTGCTGGCTGTCACACATCCAGGAGGCCTCAATCTGCAGGTGATCCCAATGGGCTCAGTGTGTCCAGATCATCAGTAGGTCTTCAGGATCAGACTCTAAGAAATAGAATTAAGCAAAGCCCTCTTTCTCAACTACAAGAACTTCTCCACACGGACAAAGGAAACACATAGAAGGGACTAGAACGTGCAAAGCAGGTCCTAGTATCTCACCAGCTCCTGTGTGGTAAGAAGAATTCCCACTCTCTTTACAATTTATTGTCTTGTGTAATTTCCCTCAACTGTGCGGGGCTAGGACAGGTGACACGGCTCTACTCCAGACTCTCAGCAGAGCTACTGGGATCCAGTGTCAATCAACTCAGGAGTTCAGGGAGGAACTCTTGTGCTGGTCACTCTGCCCAGGCCCTCTTGGAAGCTACAGATACTGTACTACTGACAAGAGGACCATGTGGAACCTGAAGCCTTCTAGGCTTCCTCCCAGCTATAGTCTGATCTGGGCCTCAGTGGCCCCCTGGTCACAGGCAGCCTACCAGGCTAGGGTTAGCAAGGTGGCCAGTGTCTGCTCTCCAGGGCTTCCAGCCTAGCAGGGGTCAGACATGGCGGTGTGATGCCTCACAGTGAGGGGCAAGAACACGGGCGTTCCAAGGGAGGGAGACCATTGAGTCTTCAAGGATAAGAGAGTGTTTCCAGACAGCGAGGCGGGGAATGGCATTTGAGGGCAAGGGAAGAGCAAGAGGAGGGGCCCAGAGGAAGAAAAGGTGACACATTTGGGAGCAGGTGGGGCACGGGACAGGGGTGAGGCCAAGGTCAGAGGCAGGGCAGGTGAGGGGTAGTGCTCGGGGGGCAGACTTGGCTCTGCAAAGTAGGAGCTGCAGGCAGGGCTTGAAGAGTCCTCACAGATCAGCATGTGAGAGCCGAAGGGGACGTACTTGGGCTGCAGGGAGGAAGACGTGGTTGGGGAGACCAAGGCTGGACAGACGGCACTGTCAAGCTTTCCTCTTCTGAAAGCCAAGGTCAGCATGCTCCAAGGAGTGCAAGCCAGGTGATGAGCATCAAAGGCTGCCAGAGCCCACGGCCAGAACACCCCATGGCCCCAGCTAGGGGATGGCTAGACACACACATGGGCCTGGGGGATGTGTTTGTGACCATTGTGGTTCTGGAGTAGTGTCACACGGCCACCTGAGAGGGCCTGGGAAGAGTGACCAGCACAAGAGGGGCCTCTTGGAGGGTGCACTCCCTCCCTCACACTGGCTGCCCTGTCTTTGGTAGACAGAGACCCCAGCCACAGGAAAGCCAGAGCACAGTCACTGTCAGAGGTTACAATCTACTCACTTGCCACAACTTAGGCTCTTCTAGACTCAAGGGGACAGGCAAAGGAGCCATCCAGGTACCCATACATGCAACTGGTCAAGCAGACACTCTCGTTTGCTCTTGCTGGAGCTTGATCTGGGCTTTCACAAGTTTTCACAGGATTTCTTGGTTTGCAAAGAGATACAAAATGAAGGTTCTCCTGAAACTGCAGACTCTAATCAGTGGGTAAGTGCTGCCCACTGGCTCCGAGGGTACGAAGGCTGATTTGTAGCACCTGCCATCTCCATGTTGTAAATATTCATGTTTCCACAGCCTGGGCCTAACTCCCACGTGCTGTCCTGAGTGTGGCATTGGGAAGATGTGTGCAACCAGTTCTCAGGAGCCAGGCAATGGCTGTGACCACCCTGCCTTCAACCAGAGCAGCTTAAGTGAGGGCCATGAACAAACATATCCTGAAGATAAGGCAGAGGCCCATGTAAACAGGAGGCCACGAGCTCCACGGAAGGCAACGGGGCTTGTTTCTTCTGTGCTCCTAAGCCTGACACTCACCAAGAGCAACCATCACAGACCTGTCTTCTGCTCCTGCCATCCCCACCCCAAGGACTTTCCCAGAGCTATAACCCTGAACTCAGGACACAAAGGTGGCCTGCCTCATTTCCAGTGCTTTAAAGATGAGCAGATGGAGGCACCCAGCGGATAGGCTGTGGCCGAGACAGTGTCGGGCCATGTCCCTGCACCCGATGTCCAGGACAGAAGACAGGAGACAGGGTGTGAGCAAGCCCACCACACTGCAGGGGCAAAACAGCTTTTGACAGGGCCAGGAAGGCTGGGTACCAGGACTCACCCTCTGACACAGAGAAGCAGAGACACCCAGGGAACTTGGCAGGGAAGGAGCAGCCTCCATGCCATGGTCCTGACACGTGTTTATGTGCCCCCACCCAATGAGGAGCCAGGATTCCCTTCAGGTCCCTCCTCTGGCATTAGAAAGCGAGGACAGCAGCCTCAGTCCCTCCCCACAGGCTTGGATCAACAGTAGTCACTCTCTCTAGGGGCATCCCTGAAAAGCTGGCCCAGCTCCGCGAGCCAGTCAGTGGCTCGGTTCTGGTTCACCTCGTTACAACTGAGGCCCCGGGTCCCTCTGCTCAACTTCCCTGCACTCCTACAGCCATGAAGAAGGAAGTTGCCGCCCGCATGGTCACAAAGGCTGCTGACACGCCACCAGCCCTCAGGCTCCTCAGAGAGCAGACAACCTTCTGCCATCACACGGTCTCATCACCAGCTGCACCCCAGGCTGAGCTGCCCCAGCCCGCCCGGGACCCTGTGATTCGCCGTGGGGAGGATCCCTGGAGAACAGCAGAGCCGCCCTCCCGCCGCAGCTGTACCTTGTTGAGCTCCCGCAGCTTGCTCTTGGCTGCAGCCGCGTCCTCCTGCTCCGTGGCCAGCAGCTTTTCTTTCTCTTCCAGTTGGCGTTTCAGAATCGCCACGGGGTCGCCCTTCTGAGTGGCCTGAAAAGGCCACAGAAGTATGTTAACAGAGGGCAGCTGGTGACTCGTCCCAGACCCCAGACCCGACATTTGTGGGGAGAAGGCAGCCTGGCCTCAGTCACTCAGGGCGGAGCCTCCAGGGCCCATGCGTGCAGGGACTGTCAGGGACACAGCTTTGGGTCCCCGGGCAAGTTTAGGAGTATAGCATTTCCAGCCCTCTAGGGGCAGCTGACCCCCATTTCCAGCTCAGAACTCACCCAAGTCAGTGCCTGCAGCCTCTGGGCCACAGGCTGCAGCATGGGGCCAGGCAAGGGGAGGCATACTCTGGGGACAGTGGCCTGAGGGGAGCCAGGCCTCTCTCCAGGTCCTCCTGACTCCCTCCGTCCACTCGTGTCCAGGAGACCCCGGTGTTCAGACCGCACTATGCCCATCACAGCCCGCAATGGCCCAGAGGGGAGTGATGCCCACTGGCTTCAGGGGAAAGGCCCCCAGCCTGACTCTCAGGACATGCCTCAACACCTTTAACCTCTAAATGCTCTAGCAAAATCACCCAGAATTCTGACTGGTTAAGAATAAACATGTACCATACAGCACTTCATGGAGGCAGCTCTTAGCCAAGGCTCTTCCCAAGGTAGGAAGTGGTCCTGAGCGCAAGAGAGATTGGATGCTTCTGGGTTCCTCACAGGCCCTTCCACGTGGGGTGTCCCAACACTTTTCTTCCCTGAGCTCTGGCCACAAACCCACTGGGCCCCAGCTGCTGTGTCCCACCCTGGGTTCCCTGTAGCAGAACCCTGCCCTTGCCCCTACCCTCCCTCCTGTCTCCCTGGCCATGGTCAGATGGACAGAAGCCAAAGTGTCTGCAGGGATCCACAGCTGGAGCCAGAGCTGGGCAGCAGCTCTGGCTTTGGAGAAAGAGGTGGGGGCTTTTTCATGAATGTTGTCCATGTGTGGCCAGTCTGATGGCCTCTCCTGAGGAGGGGGCTGGGACTCAGGACCAGGCACCCACTGCGACTCGCTGGCCCCTGAAGGAAGAGGAGGCCAGCTTGGGGCCTCTGCGTGAAGCCATGGGAGAGAGGGCCCACCTTGTGCCAGGTGTCCTGGACGATACCAGCCTTCTCGGACAGGACCTCAATGAGCCGCTGGGCCTCACCCTCACTGAATGCCATGCTGCCGACTGTGGAAACCAGTGTTTTATAGGGGAGGTAGAGAGGACCATCGGAATCCGGGGGACCTGCAAAATGGGAGGGATGGAGAGACTCAGTCACACGCCACAGCCACAGGGGGGCAACATGGCCCATCACCCAGGAGAAGGTTCAGTCAGAGCCAAGAGGCTCCACTAGGCTAAGCATGCAGCATGCTCTCGGCATCTCTTGCTCTTCCTGGGACTGAGAAAATGACAAAATGCTGGGTCCTTGCTCCACTTCCTAACATGCCCAAAGAAAGTACCAGCCTGGCTGGGAGTCACATGCTCTTTCTTTCTTCTTGTTGAGACGACCCTGAGCACAACTATGCAAAGCACACTTTTCCCAAAGGATTTTCCCTCCCTTCTTTTCTCAGCAAATGCCTGGTCCAGCTCTTGCCTGCACAGCCCAGGAAGGTACTCCCACCTGGCCATGACCAAGTCCCGTGGCCCTGTGCACCCCAGCTGACCAGCGAACCCACTGTCCACCAACACAGGTGTCCATAACCACATGCCTGAGGCTACAGAGGGGCATGACAGGCAAGAGGAGGCTGCCTCCCACATCTGCCCAAACTCTCTATTTCCAACTCTCCCTGAGCGAAGAGCCAGCAGCGACAGGTTCTGGGGGACACAAGGCAGAGACAGGTTCTTCTTGAACAGGTCTGTCCATTTGTCAGCCCAGGAGTGACTGCCTGTAGGACCCAGGACCATCCACCAACACCCAACCATCACTTCTGACAAACTACGACTGCCAACACTCCCCACATGCATAGCTTGGTGCTCACTGCTCATGCACAGCCTCGGAGGCAAGACAGGCAGCCCAAGAGCGGTGCCAGCACCGCCTTCTGCCAAGGGCCGGATCTGCCCCAGCCGAATGACAGGCCCAAATGAGCCGGAACAGAGAGCAAGCTGCCTGCAGTGGCACCCTCAGCCGAACCCACCTAGAGAGGACAAAGGATGGGACGGTTTCCATGGCAACCCTGGATTCTCTAGCTTGTCACAATACTTCACTTACTAGTCACAATATTTAGCAGCATACCTTAATAAAGGGATGGGGGGCATGGCAAGCCGGCTGCTATAAACACCTTTATTTTATAATTCCTTTCCTCAGAGCAGCTCAGAAGATTAAACATAACCATGGTGATATGAAAGGCTCAAGAGCTGGGCATGGTGGCTCACGCCTATAATCCCAGCACCTTGGGAGGCGGAGGTAAGAAGATTGCCTGAGCCCACGGGTTCAAGACTAGCCTGGGCAACTTGGTGAGACCTTGTCTCTACAAAGAATCAAAAAGTTAGCTGGGCATGGTGGCGCACACCTGTAGTCCCAGCTACTTGGAACTACTTGGAAGACTGAGATGGCAGGATCGCCTGGGCCCAGCAGGTTGAGGCCATGGTGGCCATGAATGTGCCACTGCATCCCAGCCTGCGGGACAGAGTGAGACTCCAACCCCCACCCCAAAAACGCCCAAGAGCTCATAGGTGTCACAAAAATGGGTCCTGTTGGGGACATGCCCCTTTGCCCTTTCTTTTTTACTGAGATATGTATACATATATGAAGTAATTTTACTGGTAAATGCAGGCACACAAGAGAACCTTCTACAGTTAAGCATAAAGCTCTCAGGCATTCCCTCTCAGGGGAGCCCCCACTGCAGCCTTCTGGTCCCAGGCTCCCTGCTTCCCACAGCTTAGACATGCATATGTACTGCCACTCATTCCAGGGGAGGGAGACCACTTGTTCAAAGACCCCGATAGAGTCATAGACAGGCAAGGCGCCTCTTACGCGTTTCCAGCAATGGCTGCATAGACATCTTCCTCTACTGACTCAGAAAGACCTGCTCCTGTGCTATCCAACGCACTGGTCACCAGCCACGTGAGGCTGCTACACCCTGCCATGTGGCTAGTGTGGTTCGATATGCCATAGTGGAATGTAAAGGAAGTTCCCAATATAAGAGAGAGTTCCGTTCCCAGAGTATGTTTGTCAGTCTAATTTGTTTGAAGTTCAAAAAAGTTAGCCCACGTACCCAACTAACACAATCTGCTATATAGTACTATATGCATTTAGCAGGCTCTACTGACAAGTGGTGGAGAGAAATAACATAAAAAAAACGCAGGTGTGCACAGTTGAAGTTGGAGGTTTGTATGTAGGGGACTTACTGTACACACAGGATTCTGAAGACTTGGTATAAAAAAAGGAATGTAAAATATCTAATAACTTTATATATTGACTGCATGTTGAAATGATCATATTTTGGATAAACTTGGTTAAATAAAATATATCATTACCTTTCTGTCCCTTTGTTGTTTGCCTTTTTAACATAGCTGACTAGGAACACTGAAATCATGTATGTGGTGGCTCCCACGTGTGGCTCACATATTTCTCCCAGCCTGGCTGGGCTACTCCTTTCTGGCCCCAGTGACCCTCAAAGCACCCCCTGCTGAAATAAATCTTGGCAGCCCCTGTCCCTGCAGAGGCTCTAGAGTGACCAAGGGCTCTGGCCTCTCTTGAACTGTTTCCCTGAAGACCACCATGGCCCCTAATGAAACACTGGAGGGGAAGTAGCTGAAGGAGGCAGCTAGAGGAGCAAACTAATAGGTGCCACTTCCTGCACAGATGTCACCATGGCCACGTGCACCCCTTCCGCTGGCTCAGGCCAGGGTGTACCTGAGAGCATTCTGCGAGAGAGCATTCTGTGAGAGTGGCATTCAATAAATCTTTATTAAAACTTTCTAATGTAATTATATCAAAATTTATTAGATATTTTAACAGTAATAAAAACTTGTAACAAAGGAAACAAATGCAGAGCTCTGTCCAATAATGTTTAACACATTCCCCCGTCGACCCCCCAACTCCCACAGAAACTTCCATGGTCTTCCCCATGCCCACACAAACACTAAATTATTTTTAGAGTCGTAACTCCACATTTTTCATTAAATCTTTTAGGTAAGAGTTGTGCCATCACTATTCTCCTCAAATCAAAAAAAGAAAAAAAAAAAAGCACTCAGAAGTAGAAACCAGAATTTCTGGGCTCTGAGTGAGTTGCACCAAAACGACGCACTAAGAGGAGCTAACCTGTGCCAGTGCGTCACTCCTGTCTCTAGCAAGTACTTGACTCCCGTGATCCCCGGTATCATGAAATCTTAGGGTGCTAAAATAAATATGTCAAAGCTCAACATCTACCCTGTCAAGCCACCGATTTCAAAATGACCAACGGACTGTGAATCCTAGAAGAGGTCAGCTCACCGGGACTGCTTCTGCAGCCAATGCACTTTCAGTTCTGGTGGGTATGAAATACCAGGACGAAACAGGCCAGGAGGCCTGGGAGAAGCGAGGGGCAGAAGAGCCAAGAGCAGGCACGCGGGAGGAACAAGGGCAGGAGAGCCAAGGGTGGACACACAGGAAGACCGAGGGGCAGCAGAGTCGGAGCGGGCACACAGGCCCATGTCTCACTCGGTGTCATCCAGACCTCAGTCTGGCAGGGACACAGCAGCACCCCAGGGGCCAGGTTCACAGGGACGGGAGGAACTTGGGCCCAAGCAGCCTCTCCTGAGCTGAGCTGTCACTTCACCTCCTAGGTCAGCTCTCACAGGAATCTGAGCCAGAACCCTCTGAGCTACAGACTCGTCTGGGAGACTAGAGATTTTTATGTGCCCTGTCCTCTCCTTTAGTGCCATCATTTAGCTCAATAAAAAAATAACTGAATGAATAAAACCACTGTGCAGATGAACAAACACACTGTGGGTTAGGCCTGGACTTCAGGTCACCTCTGCCCTTGGGCAACAGAACACCATGGCCCGAGCCAGGCCTCTGGACCCTGTTTCCTCATCTGTGAAATTGGATGATGCCATTCCTCCCTAACAGCCTGGCCCAGGGTAAAGCACACAAGATCCACCTACTGGCCAGTCATCAAGGCCCGATCACAGGAGAGGCCCAGACTGCAACCTCACCCTGGACAGACAGCAACGGCCCTTCCCTGCTCTCCCCATGGAATGGAAAGGCCACACCAAGGCTTGCTCAGGAGCCCAACCCTTCAAGGACAAGCCTGTCCAGGGAGCTTCCGGGACCCTCTTGTCCTGCCTGGCATCAATGTCAAGATGCTCAAGAGCAGCATTTTGCATAGGTGGAGGTCTCTGCCCCCTAGGACTGCCAGTGGGAAGCATGCCCCCCATCACACCCTACGTGACACCCACCTCCCTTCTGCAACCACGCTGCAAGGCTGAGTTACCTTAAACTTGTCTGGCAAAGGGGCATTGGGAGTCTCTCTCCCTCAACTGTGGGTCCTTGGGAAAGACTTTTCTCTCCAGGATCCTCCTTGGCCAGGGTCACGCCTTAATAGAAGGATCTCAACCACAAGAAGAAGCATGAGGGTCGGCAGTGCCCCCAGCATCCAGCTTCTGAATAGTCCTGCGCTGCGCACACCTGGCTCACACACACCACCACCACCACCACCACCACCACCACCACCACTACCACCACCACCACCACCACCACCACCACCACCACCACCACCATTACCATCACCATTTGTTGACCCTGCCATCCTGTTTCAGACTAATAATGATGAATGAAAATCTTTAGACATGTCAACTTTAACAGAGTTAGTAGAGCAAAAGCAATTGACAAATTGAGCAGCCCCCTGAATCAAAATAGGTTCAGAGCAACTCCAGTGTTGCTTCATTGTCAGAGAGGATTTTTTTTTTGGTTGTGCTTTATTTAATCTTAATTTTTGATTTTATTTATTTATTTCCTTGTAGCAGTTTATCAAGTGTCAAGTAGTGTCAAGTAGCTCTATTTATATTAGGGAAAATTATGACTTCGTTATTGACTTTATTTGGAGAATAAGTATAGTTTAAGAAGATGCATATGGGTGCCAATTAACAAAAGGTGAACTAATGATGCTTAATTTTGTGTGTCACTTGACTGATAGCCAGATAGTTGGTAAACCATTATTGCTGTGCATGTATGTGATATTAGCTTTTGGATTAGTAAACAGTGTGTAAAGAGCCACCCTCACCAAGGTGGATCAGCAATTTTTTGAGGGCTTAAATAGGAC